CACATATATTTATATATATTCCCTAATTTCAGATCCTAGGCTTTGGAGAGATTATTAGGTGAAATTTTTGAGCCATGGACTTTTAGTGCTAAAATACTTATTAAAACTCTAATATAAGGAATGAGAAGTGTTAGCCTTTATCAGTGCTATAGTTTTATTAGAATGTATACATAGAATCAAATATTTTTACACCTTCTTGTGCATAGAAATTGAAGATAGTTAATTTTAAGTGGCCATATTTAGAAACACATAAATAGGAAACAGAAAGACAATGAATTTCCAAGCAAAAGAAAAATATTTGTTTTCTTAGCATTTAAGTTTTTATAATGGGACCCATATCCAAGTTAATGAAATAAAGAATCCAGGGTTCATTATTCTGATAGACCTTGCCTTTCTTTGTGTTTATACCATTATAAAAATGTTAAAACAAGAATTTTATAATACTTATACATATTCTAAAGTCTTAAAATTTGTTATGTGGATTCTTTTCTGACAAACATTTCTTTTTTCCATGAAAAACAAGAGGTAGTTGTTGAGACTGGGGACACAGGAGCTGTGAGCCCACCCTAAAAATTAAAGGAAGTGTTTATTAACTTCCAGACTCCCTACATGTGACGTGGTGACATGAGAATTTAAGAAGCAGATAAATTTCAGCTGTACTCTTGGATTTGTCAACTGTATATGTTTTTGCTTGAGGAACTATATCTTTTTAGGTCTCAGTTTTATCCTCTGTAAAACTGGACATGGAAACACATGCTGCTTAATTAAGACCTGGATGAAATGGGAAGAGGGCAATCAAAGGCCTTGCATAGGACCTGGTACAGGCTTGGTCTTTGGTATCCACCAGATGAAATATTCTTCCCAATACAACTTTCTAAATGGTCCCTGACTAACCCTTATTAAGAGGTAGACCAATTTCTGATTATATCTTTTAGCTCTGCCCATTTAAGAAGGCAAATTATTGTTTTTCCTTGCAACAGTCAGAGGGTTCATGCACCTAAAAAATGAGCTCATTATGTGGTACAAATCAAATCTCTTCTTTCTTGCATAATTGGTGATAATGTGGTTTTCAAGTGTAGATTGTAAGGAATCAAGTGACCTATTTTAAGAAAATATCTGTTTTTTTTTTTTTTCTTTTTCTTTTTCTGGTAGTATCCTTTCTGAGGAATGTTCAGCAGAGACAGGATTTGAATTGGAAGGTTCTGTCTTTCAAGTTTCACCCTTATTCATGACACAGTGAAAATCATAGATAAAGCTAATCCAGAAATTTTTTATCAGGGCTACATTATTAATAAGATTCATTCATTTTATCCAAATGATTTTTGCTGTGTGTTTCTTGAACAAAGAAATAAATAAGTTGTGCCTGAGTACTTACTTGAGAAAGAGACATTTTATTTGTTAGAAACTGAATGAGAAGACGTAATAAGACAAATGTCCTGTATTTGTCTGTGATAGATGTCAGGAGGATTTTATAATAAGCCAAAAAAGAAAAAATAAAAATAAAGAACTATCCTTTTATATTTCTGTATCTTTTACCTTACTTTTAGAAGGTTGCCCACTGCATCAGTGTTTTC